AGCAGAGAGAAGTAGTCGATATAACGGCAGTCATTCATCTCTCTGACAGCCCTCCAAATGCTCCGCTGGGGGAGACACAACGCTGCGTCACTGCCAATGCAGCAAACGCTAAGCGCAAGCACACATGTTTACATGCATGCACATAAGGTAACAGAGGGAAGGCTTGTTAATCAGCTTCGATACTGGTGTGCATATGCACAAAGAGGCAACATTATACTAGTAGCACAAATCTCAGCAGCAGTTAAAATAATTGTAAAAATGCACCAAAGAGCCTGTTTTTACAATCCTGAATTCTTGTGCAGAAACGTGCACCCTGTCTGTTTGCACAGGCAAACGATCCAAGACAAACACGCACATGTATGGTACATGACACATTCACATGACTCTGGAATATGGGAACACAGATGTGTGCTCCTGTCATTAAACACATACACATTCGTGTGAGAAACGCACAAAATACACAAACCTTCTTCCCTAGTTCTGGTCATGGCCCATTGGCTGATGCCTGCCGTCCATCTTTCATGATTCATGGCTAAGCGAGCTGCTGTGGAGCAGTTCTAAACCAGTGGGCCGAGGCGAGCCTGTGTGTCATTAAAGCACAGCAGGCTGGACATGCTGTTGGAGTTGCCGCACTATGGCCAGCTCTGTGCCTCCATCTGGCACAACAGGAGGCAAGGAAGCATGTATTAATGTCGCGGTTTTGCTCATAGTGAATTAGCAAGAAAAGTAACACCTAACAGACATCCCCCCCCCCCCCCCCCCAAAAAAAAACCACCTTATTTTGATGTGCTCATTGAAAATGGGGCGGGTTGCTTTTCATTTATTTGGACAATCCCCACTTAGATTTTAAGCTAAATTAGCCTCTCTAATCATCAAAACACTTCTTTGAATCACTACACTGGTGGTGATAAAAAGAAAAAAGTAAAACCTCACACACCTCTCCCCCATCCTTTATTAGTGTGACCCCCAAGACATGCATCAGAGGCGCACATCCATATGTTCACTAATGACTCGTTAATGATCTGCTCCTCTGCTGACCAAAGCTGACAAACCCTAAACCTGACAAGAGGAACACCCACACAGACCCTTTACCTCACCTCTTATTTCGAGGCTCATCTTTCAGCTCTCAGGCTCATCAGTTGAACCAAAGTCCAGCAAGATCCAAACAGCTTCAAACAAGCATCAATGATAAAACAGTCAGAGTCCGTTTTAGAGTCTGGGCAAATTATTTTCTGAACGTAACGTAAAAGGGATGAAAAATCAAGATAAAGTTTGGGTTTTTTAAAGTGAAATAACGTGACTGGCACTAAAAAGGCAAAGCAAAATTGCTAAGCCAATGGAAAAAAAAAACAGTTTGAATCATGTTTAACTTTGCCTTGATTGTGATTTCCACTGGGGTTGGGGGAGCCAGTATCGGAGAATCTTTTTAACATCACACAAGAGATAATTATAGAGTGCACCCCTGCCAGCCTGCCTCAGTTTCTCCAAAATACTCACACCCCAAATTAGGGGTTACTTCTTCCTACTTTAACCTGCTATTTGAGAAGAAAACGTCACAGACAAAAATAAGAGGGGAAGAAAAATAAAAGAGCACATAGAGAATAGTCCCAGTTCAACAGTTTTCTCTCACAATTAAATCCAGTCTTTGTACATTTGATTACTGGCAGTGCTTTAGATAAAACCAGGTGTAGAAACTGGGACAAAAACACAAGCTGGGCTTCTTTGTTGCTAGGAAGCAACTAGGTTTAAGTTCTAGCTGCAGATGAAAAGAGTTGCAAATCTGCAGAAAATATTTGCTAAATTCAGCCAGCTAAAGAGAGAAAAAAAATACGCCAACTTCATGCTAGTCCATGACCTCACTGGTTTGGACCGCAGATCCCAGTCGGGGATGACAGAGCACTCTCTGTTTGAGCTTTTCTGCAGCTTGGCCTTCTTCTCTGTTTGGTTTGGTTTTCTTTCTTTTTTTTACCCATTGTTCTCTGTTCTTGATCTTCATAGTGTCCCAGTTAGATTCATAACAATCCATTAGTGTCACAAAGTCCTCTGGTCAGCTAAAAGGGCCCAACTCTGTGCCTGACTTCTTTGCTGCATTGTGCCATAAAAAGCGACGATGCAGAGTTTTCCGCTTATTCCGAGACAAATCAAGATTACCTGCAAGCCTTACTGATAAACTACATTCTGAACAGCTGCGTGATTTATAGAGAACACTCATTTAGGATTCCTGTTTTGTGTCTAGCTCAGATTCTTTGTCACAGATAGGCTGCTGCAGTTTAGACTAGCGAGTCTTTGTGGTGAGCCAAAGTTTGGAGAAGCATTAATACTTGTCGTTAGGCATTCTGCAGTGTCGCTAATAACAGACCTGCACCGCGAGCTAAGAAAAACATCTTTAAGTCCTTGTTTAGGACCCGTGTGATCATCTGGCTACTTGACTTATCTGACTTCACTTTAATGATGTCACCACACGCCCAGATGTGAGCAATTAACTTGATGAGTACAAAACTATACAAATCTGTCGGCGTAACAACATCCCTGTAGCAATAAGAAGAGGCCGTTTGACGTTTTATTTTTTAGATTATGGAGAACAAAAACTGACAGAAGCAATTAATTTTAAATCCTTGTGTTTAAAAACCTAATCTTAAGCAAATTGAAACCCAAATGTTGTGTCATATGAAAGCTTCTATTACTCCAGGATTTCAGAAACACCTTCAGTATATTACTAGTTAATGCGATGCATTAGAATTTGAATAAACTAAATTCCCAAAGAACTAGAACAGTGCTTCATCTGAACATCAGGAGTCTGCTTTGTCTTCTCAACATTTACAGACTGCACATTGGAAATCCAGTCAGAAACAACATCCTGTCCCAGGGCCCCTAGGAAGTGACCTCAGACCTGCAGAAAGGCCAGATAAAAAGTCCACATCACAAACCAAAAAAAAGAAAACACCGAGCTGGTCGTAATGAGCTGCGCACCAGGCTCCAGTGTGTTCTGAAGGAGACCAGGTGGTGTGACACACATATGACTCTGATTAAGGGGCCTTCAAATGAACAAGAGAAAGGAAAAGAAAGTAGGGTGGGCTGTGAGGAGCCAATCAGACGACTTTGTGCACAATTCAACCATATGTGGTGTTCACTGGTCCCAGATAGGCTCAGTAATACTTAATATCCTCACAAGAGCCAATTTGTTTTTTAAGTGTGGAGCTGCAATTGAGATATCATTTCAGTTTGAGGAGCAACATGTGAGCAGCATCAGCCTCAGTGTCTGATATGTTGACACCCTGGTCCACGGGGTCTTAAAACTCTAATATTAGGTCTGTCACAATCACAAATTTTGCTGGGAGATAAATTGTCTCAGGAATTTTTTAGATAATGATATTGTTCGGAGACGATTTTAAGCTAATATAAAGATACCCACGACTTCATAACATAACTGCAGTCACAATCATGCAAATTGTGAAATTTACATAAAGTTTTGAACAAACAGGAGCAGAACAACACAACAACAGCAACTGAAGCTGTAACATCACCTCTATCCACACCAGGACACTTTATTCCTTGTGTGTCTTCCTCTGGCTTCATAAAATAATTGCGGTCACTGGGACGCTACTGACAAAGTTTATGATATACAGTATATGCAGGGTAAAATAATAATAATAAATAAATGAAAAAAACAACAACTTTTGTCAAACCTAAGGTTAGACACGGTCACCCTGAGGGTTTCCTGAGGTGTTGCTGCAATTATTTTATGAAGCCGGAGGAAGACACACAAGAAATAAAGTGTCCCGGTTTGGATAGAGGTGGGTGGTGATGTCGGAAAACCGAAGACGCCCCTCTAGCTAAACGCCTGTTCAATGGGCGCTCGACCGAGCGCTTGGCAAACATGTGACCTGAGAGTTCACTCCTCCCTATGCTAAGGATTGGAAAAGAGGGAGAAATGAAGAAAACAAACAAGCAGGCAAATGAAAATGATCAACCTCATTTTAATTTTCCATGCAATTAATTGATTCATTGCTTATGGCGACAGGCCTATCTATTATAAGTAGAAAACATAACACAGAAATGAATTAATAGCCTTATGAGCTAACACTCACACACACATACAAGAGTTAAGCATTGTAGGGGTTTGTGCCGCTAATTGCTGCTAAAGCACCAGCATAGCCCCGAACAAACATTAAGGCCCGCCCACACATGTCTATCACTAACCACATAGTTGTACTTTTACTCGTTGGGAGTTTAAAAATGTCAAGGGTGCCTCTGTCCTCATTCCTCAACAGCTAGTTTCATCTTGGCACATTGTGTTGCATTTGACTGGACTGTTTAAATGTCTCCTGATATCAGGGAACACAAACAAGCTGGCCTGCCAGCCTGGTGAGGAGGATAAGGAAGGGGAAACAGAGGCCATTCTTCTCCCTGTGTGACGGGAATTGTGTTGGAACAAGCACCTGTCACCCCACAACAATGACCACAAAGGTTGGCCAGAAAGACGGTCAGAAGTGGGAGACAGAGAGGAGAGACAGAGGGCACCAAAGTGTTTAAACAGTGAACAGTAAAAAGTGACCACCTAGTGTTTTCTTTTTATTCGAACCAACTAAATGTCAGCATATTACATTCAGAAAAATATGCAAAGTGCCAAGTTATTACTGATACAGGAACCAGATAAACATCTATATTAGCACCGATGGAAAAAAAACACTATGTTGCTTGAACTACCTCATTTTCTTCTCTTCCATCACCTCTGCCTATTTTCAGCACCAATTTCACACTCTTTTTTTTCTGAAGTGATAAAAAATGGAAGCATCTCTGTGTCCTTAATACTTCTCCTTCACACGTCCTCTAAACAGAGAGCACAGAGGAATTTCTGGGATCTGCGCAATTCCACATGTTCAACATGACAAAGGACTAAGAGGGGGGAAAAAAAGCTTACTACCTGGATTCATTGTGCTCTGCAGTGACGGTTTGCCTAGCTCTACCTATTTTAAGTCTGCTATGGCCCTGCTTCTTACCTCTCTGTCCTTTAACTTCATGGCCAGAACCAGCTGGTTGCGGTGGTTAGTCAGCGCTTCACGGTAGTTCCCCTTGGAGAAGAATGCAGAGCCCAAATTCCCATGAGCACGGCATTCCCCTGTTTGGTCACCTGAAGACAAAAGCAAGAAAACGTGAGTATGAAAATGAAAAGCAGCAGCAAATGGTGGGGTCACTGCACAGACCACCTGCTGTTTATTTCCTGTAATCCCACGGTCACTGTTAAACAATAACGTGATGAGCCACATCTATGCCACATGCAAGCCACTGCACCCATGAAAAGGCAAAACGGTCGTTTGAAGTTCTCCACAGTAAAGTGGCTCCTGTGACAGCTGCTGGTGTTGATCTCAGTGTTCCAGAGGGTGAGAGGGGAAAGCCTTATTATTTCTGCCTGACAGAGAGGCCTCACAGTCATGGCCAAAGTAAAGCTTAAGTCTCTGTGCTCCACCTGAGAACCTTCTTATCTCCAGCTGCTCTGCCCACTCATGTGTCAAATGTGTGGGGGTGAGAAGAGTGGAGCCAGTCTGTGCTGCGCTCTGTTTTCATTTTTTTCCCCCTATCTCACCCTTCCAAGTTTTTCTTTCCTTACTGTTTCTCTGGCAAAAGGTCAATCCTGTTCTGAGGAAGATAGATTTAGGGAGCCTTTAATGTCCTAGCAGGAAGTTTAAATGGCAAAAAAGGATAAAAC